AAAAAATATTTTTTTTTGTTATCTTTAGTTTTTTCTTCAATTAAGAAGATAGCGAGTAACATAATATTATATACCAAAATACAACATATTTCAGTAGAAACGCAAACAAAGGAGGAGTCATTTTCCTCGTCGTCTAAAACACAGCCATTACTCCACTGGGGACCAGATTAAAACTGTCATATTATTAAAAAGTAAACTTGATTTTTTTTTACATAATCAATATAAAATGAGTTAAGTATTATGTTATTTTTACTATAAACAATAAAACTAATAAACGTCAGAGTATAACACTAGCACCAAATTTATTAACCCATAAAAACTTAACGCTTCCCTGTAAATCAGAACGTCAGATTTTTATTTTCTATCGGAAACTGAACTCTGTGCATGGCTGAGATTTATTAATTGCAACGGAAAATTTAAGATATGGAATTCATTTTTATGATATTCTCGGATTTAATAATCTTAGCAAATGTTATATAATATATATCACAATCTTTCTAATGTTGGAATGACAACATGCTAATACTGCACCTCTAAGTAGGCTATTATAGACCATAGATAGACACCTGCATCTATTTTTTGTTTCCTTTTCATGATATAACTGACATCATAAACAAACTTTCAGTAAAAAAAAACTGTTTGTTTCGGTTGTTTTGTACGTGGTAGAGCCATGTTGCAGCTATATTAATAGTATAGGTGTACCACGAATGACCACGCTGATGTGTTTCGTATGGTGAGTGTAGAGAACCGGAGACCCTTTTTACTGGAAACGAGGCATTCCATCTTAGTCCTCACGGGTGACAACGCATCTGCATTTTGATCCTCGATCGAGAATAAATGTAAATGTCTATGGGCCACAGCAACCACTTACCATCAGGTGGAACGTGCGCTCGTTTGTCACCTTTATCCTATAAAAAAAGTTACCTTACTTACTGTAGTAAGTGACTACTGCAGTCCATGAAGACCTGTACGCAACAAGAAAGCACAGACAAAGAAGGCTACAGATACGTTGTCACCTCTGAGAACTAATTAAAATACCGCACAACCTGTAATTACACTGGCTCTTTATATCCTCCAGACCGGAAGACAGCTGTGCAGACACAATGCTATTTGGCGTTTTATTTATAGATATATTATAATTTGATCTCTCGTATATAAACTGTTTTTTTTTAAACAACCGCTTTTTCCAAGTTAGTATTTCTCCTGGATCGTCCATTTAATATATGGGTTAAAATTTTGCACATGGAGAAAAATCCAGACACGGAAGTTTTTTTTTAGTTAGTTAGAGAGTTAGTTAGAGCGTGGTACTTCCCCGGTCGAGCCAACCCATTCGTGCTACAACTATACTATTAATATAGCTGCTGCATGGCTCTATCACGGCCATGGCGCTGTACTAAGGAAATTTCGGTCAATAACCTATAGAAGGTTATAATGCTGTGACATATTAGGATAAGACGGGCAATATAAGGGTTCCGTGTATGACAAGCGGAACCCTAAATAAGCAACATTTCATGAAAGTAATGTAAACGTTGTATAACTGTGGTATAAATCGTAACAAAAAATCGTAAAGGCAATGGAGAAGCTCGAAAGTGCGTGTCTATACCATCAGTCTAAAGAATTTGCGGAGAGCGGGAAGGGTATTTGCATAAAAAATTGAAGGAAAGGCTCACGTTGAACAATCGCTCTTAATCATGAAATACGAGATCGCTTTGAGAATGGGCGGGAAGCTAGCGATAACTTTTCCCCTTCTTTGTTTCGCGGTATGTTGTAATTGCGGAGCTAAGAATTGCGGGGCCAAGTTTTGAGCGCGCGAGAAAAATTGTAGATTGTTTTTAGCAATCTTCCGCGTGGAATTGTTGTTCGCACAGTTTCTTGAACGTTTCTGTACATTCATAACGCAGAAGTTCAGGCAGATTAGAGGATGTGAAAAGTTGTCGGGAAAACATTGCCGCTCCAACGTAGGTGAAGTTTAAATATCGAAAAGGTAACAGGATGATTTTAACTTTGTTTAGAAGTACGGACAAAATGGTTATATCTATATATAAAAATTAATTTCTGTCCGTTAGTCTCGCAAAAACTCGAAAATGGCTGGACCGATTTTGATGAAAATTTTGATCTTAACGATTCACCATTGGACCCGGTAGGTGGCGTTGTTGTCGAGATCTCTGGATCTCGACAACAACGCCACCCGTGCGAAACCGGGGCAGATCGCTAGTAAGGAAATAAAGATTAGGTCCATTAGGCTGTTGTAGTTTTGTATTTAAATACTCCAAAAAACGCGTCCATTAAGTTTTACATTGTCAGTAAGTAGCAACATATAGTCGGAGAGCTGGCTACGAAAACGTGAACTGATAAGGTGTAGTAACGAATTATATATACAAGCTCTCCTTGGTAGCTTATAAGTACAGAGCGAGGCTCGTCAGAACTCTCTCCCGGGGCGGAAGCCGTGGGTCGGTCAAAGTCGTAAATTTTCAATGAGAAAAAAATGATTAGGTGCAGTTCTGAAATTTGGTAGAGTTATAATTTTTAACTGTAGGGATCTAGGAAAATTATTGTCAGATGTCTATGTTGGGGCTTAAAGACTGTCAGAAGTCGACAAATTTGTTATATTTATACTTACACTACAATATTTTTCTTTTTATATGTCCACATAATAGTGTCTGTTGAAAAAAATATTTACTCTGTTATTATCAAACAAAAGTAAAAGTAACAAACAAAAGTAGCAACTTTAATGCAACAATTTTCTTATAGATTGTTTCGCGTTTAATTAATGAATTCCCGACATTTCGAGTACTTTGCAGCATGCATGGCAATGTGTGCTATTCATTTATAGGAAAAGAAAGTATATAAATCATCAAGAGAAGAAAATTTAAAAATTGTATACTGAAACATTGTATCTCAATTTTCTCATTTCAATTAATTTAATTTTTTCAAGCGATATATGGGTTTTTCTTTGCACCCATAAAAGGTTTACCACTGATGGTCCCATTAAATTTTGCCATTAGCGATTATTTTAAAGAGTAACTATAAAGAGTGGCGACTGGAGCTGGCAAGGTGAAATTGCGTGTTTTTTATCGCACAAAGCACAAAAACATGTAATTAATGTACCGTGCTGTAAACGACTTGAAAATTAAGTCGTTACTTGTAACAACACGATCCTTTATTAACGTAACTTAAGAGTAACGCTATATTAAATTTAAAATGATGTTAACATAATGAACGCGGATCAAAGTACGGCCGTATTTATATGTAAAATTTTGTATATTGTGTTTGTTTCCTGTATAATAAGGAATTTATTAAACAAAGCTAACTTTTTGTCAAATGCTAAATTCACCTTTAGGTGACGTGTGATCATTTTGTGTACATGATAGGTTTGCCAACATTTCTTAGGCTGATTAAAGTGGTTTTTTCAAATCTAATATATTAAAATGTATGTTTGTTCGTTCGTATTTTATACGCTGCCATGCCGTTCGTCAGATTGCGATAAAACTTTGTCAACTTATTGCTCGCACTTACGCGAAGGCGGCGAAGGTTATAGGCATAGTACAATTAACTTACTAACTTATTTGGCGCGCGTATCGTACAGAAAAATTAGAAATTTATATATCATTCAACTTCAATGAATGTATTATCATTCTTAAAAATTAAACAATATAACTTCCAAATTTAAAATAACATTTCGACAATTATTTCTTCTGTGGCTGCAACGAGCCGGGTACCAGCCAGTAAGCCATAAAATATTGTGCATTTAAAAAATAGTATTTTTATGGAAAGACTAAAAAAGACGTTGAATAATAAGATACATGAATAGAGGTATTGCAAAAAAGAGTGATTCATTCAGATGAGATAGTATTTTTGCGTACTACATATATATTTCTTTAACAGTATATAGTACGCAGACCCGAAATTCTATAAAATACTATAAATTATATTACAGTTGGCAGTAATGCACCATACCCTCAGAGGCCGATCGGATGATCCATCATGAAAATCCATCCAAAACTGTCGGACGAATATAAAACATTTAAATCTATTTTAAATATTTTTTTTCTTATAGAATAATGGTGAAAACGAGCACACAGCCAACCTAATGGTAAGTGAATACTGCGGTCCAAAGACAATCTACATTTATCCTCAGGACATCATTCCTGAGAACTAAGATGGAATGCCTCGTTTCCAGTAAAAAGAGTCTCGGGTTCTCTACACTCACCATACGAAACACAGCTGCATTAAGCAGCTATTTTACGCTGGTATTCTGTGAGAGGGTGTTCCTACCCCGGTCGAGCCGATCCATTCGTGCTACAACCATATGACTTTATCGCGTATAATGATAAATGACAGTTAGAGTGTTGTGCGAGCGACTTAGTCTTTCGAAGTCCCTTATACGGCTAAAACGTTCGTAGAACCAAAAGACTCATGTACGTCGTATAGTTTGCTACAATTTAGTAACGTCATCGAATAATTTATTTATTCAACGAATACGATAAAGCGAAATAGTATATATCACAAAGGAAACTGCGCCAGGAAATGGGCAGCAGCATCTTCCTGATAAAAGCTGAATAAAGATAAAATACTGCGGTTGCCAACCGTCTTACCAAGCGAAGCAACTATTACATATTTATATTTATATTTATGAGATATACAGTTTATAAAATTGGTAAGTAACTGCAATTCGTTTGAAGTCGAATTATTTGTTGTTGTAGTTTGAGCGTCGAAGTCGAAGAAATGTATCATAAATGCGCATTTGCCTGTGATACTAGTTATATAGAGCCGGTCATTGCCTGGGCTATCGAGCTTCGCTCGGCATTAGACAAAAATATAATTTTCTCACCAATAAAGAAAGATAATTCCGATACAAAATACAGGATATAGGATTGTCGCTTGTACGAATATCCGACAAAAAAGACATCAGGATCATCCGTCAACACTCTCTAATGGGCGGACTACAAATCTCTTTTGTAGCTTTAAAAATAAAAATAAAATTGATAAAACAAACTTACATTCGTAAGGAATGGCGCGTTGTCATTGATGTCAGTCAGCTCCAATATAACTTCAGTGGTTGACCTCAAGCTGTCAGACCCCAACCTTCCTCCTTGGTCGGCAGCCATTATCAAAATCTGCCATCTAGTAAAACCAGAGGGCTGATCGCGGTCCAATGGTTTTGTGAGGCGGAGGCAGCCATCATTGTCGATTTGCAGGAACTCCTTCTGTTCGTGTTTGACAAGGGAGTAGACTATGTTCTGTGGCGCGTTGCGATCCTTGATGTCAGGGTCATACGCTTCGACCTACAAAAAGAAGTCAGTTGCGTTAATAATAGGAGACATGAGATAAGACATTAAGTATAATAGCCTGTAGTGGCTGCGTTGTACATCAAACCGTCTCGCACCTGGGAGAGACCTCGTATAGGCCAGATAAAAATATAACTATCCGGACCGGTAACGACGCTAACGTAAAAAGTTCAAGATGTCTGACCTAAGGAATCATTTCTTTTACAATTGGGAATTACTTCTATTAGTTAGGTAGGTACATACATCAATAATTTGTGTTAAAATATAAGACAACTGCTTGCGAGATGGTGCAACATAGCTATATGCAGCAGTAGATGAGGTTGATGACATTATAACAAATATTGATTAATTGACCTCCAAATATCTAATAACTTTAGAAAGCTTGTTTAATTAATGTATATTAAAGAATAAAAATACCTTGACAATGCATCCTTCGTATAGTTTCTCCTCTTCAATCGTTTTCGTGTAATTAGCCAAGAAAACTGGCGGGTTATCGTTCAAATTCTCTATGTTGATAATCACTTTGGCATAATCTTCGAAGAGACCGTCGAATGCCTTAACGTCGAGGCTGTAGCTTGTTATATTTTCATAATCCAGTTCGTTGTTCACTCGTATCTCACCCGTGAAGTTTCGAATAACGAACGCGTCGTAAGTGTTGCCAGCGACGATGCTATACGTCACAACTGACGCTGAAACAAAATTTAGTGTAAAAATAATGTAATGATTGAAGATTGAATAACACCGATCCTTATAATTTTTTTTTTTTGATATTGAGTCGGTGTTATTCAATATTAAAAAAAACATAATTTAAATAACAAAGACTTGGTGTAACATCTGCTTGAGATTCTAGAATTAATAAAATGAAATCTAAACCTATAATACATATGTATCATACTAGGCATAATATATATAAGGCTTTAAAATACAGTCAGTTCATTCTCATTTTGTGTAGATCGGACCAAAGGTTAATATCCAGGTCGTTGATACATCTCAGTTTCCTGTCAAAATTAATATCGCAGTTTTCAACAGTCGAAACCTCGGGAATATATAAAAGCTAAAACGCTAAAAAATCCTTACAAATTACATTGTTTTCAATGTTACAATAATATTTTTTATACTAATATTATTTTTATCTTCCGAATTTCATTAAAACATAAAACGAACAAATTCGCCTGAGATAATTGGAAATGTCATGGATACAGCGCCCACGCTTTGTAACTGGACGATATAAATGGAAATCGTGGGTTTTGAGCCTGGGGAGTTACAAAGATGTTGAAAAGTTTGTAGTTTAGAATTTCACAATTAAATTTTGATAGTAATATAAAATTGCATCGCAACATAATTACAGTTATTTGAAACATCCTATGTTCATTACAAAAGAATAACATTTTATTTAATGTATATTCATAACCAATGAACTAAACAAATTCACTCAATGAATTGACTGCCTTTTTCGTCTGATGGCGCTATTGCTGATCATGAATAACCGGTTCGGGTTCGGGTCGGAATAAAATAAGTTATTCAGTTTTTCTGTCGAAAAATTCTCAGTGGTTCTGTAAATTGGCGGTGTTTCATCCCCGTGTCTCAGAAAATGCATAAGCTGGTACTGCGCCTAACCTCACTCGACTTGTCGGATAAAACATCATATTACGAAAGTGGTAAAATAGAGTGTTTACGCACACACTCGTACAATTAATTATTTATTCTCGATCCTCCACACATGGCTAGTCTTCGTTGAGATGAAGCCGTTGATGTATGTGTGGCGGTAGGAAGGAAAAGGGGAGATCTCCCGCCGGGCAAGTTGTTCTGCCCGGGGAGCGGCCAACGCTCCGATTGGTAGTTCGGAGCTATTCTATATATGCTGCTTAACTTTGGAACTTTGTTAGTGCGATTTAGGCTTTCGACGTGTTTCGCTTGTGGCGCGACGACAGCGCCGCCACATGACTCAGACCCTGCTCAGACCGGAGATCGATAGTGCAGTCTAGATGTCGACGAATTTGCAAGTGCCAGGGAATTGCCTTTTAAGTCTGCGGTGAGTCGAGAAGAAGGCAAGTAATCTGCCAGAGTGCTGTGAAGCAGAGGCGAGCAGTAAGGCTCAGAGCCGTGCCGAACACTGTAGCGCAGAGAGTAGCTTGAAGGAACAGGAAGCGTTATTATTCCAGTGCTGCGATGAACCTTTGTAAAGCTAGATGGCTTTGCAGAATGTGAAGACTGCAGACAATATCTGCTCGGGAGCGAATAAATGGGGTACTTGAGGAAGATGACGAAGGTTTTGAAGTTGTAGTATCCGAAGGTTGTCGGTTGCGTGTTCATATCACGTCGGTTGGTCACCACTGTGGAGGGTGGAAGGAAAAGGGGAGATCTCCCGCCGGGCAAGTTGTTCTGCCCGGAGAGCGGCCAACGCTCCGATTGGTAGTTCGGAGCTATTCTATGTAAGCTGCTTAACTTCGCAACTTTGTTAGTGCGATTTAGGCTTTCGACGTGTTTCGCTTGTGGCACGACGACAGCGCCGCCACATATGATATTATTATTATTAAACAATGAACATAATTTAGGTATGATAAAGATAGTAAGCAAAGTGAAGGGCGGCTCCGGTGGAGTAACGACCTGGTAAGACATGCAGGAAATCGATAGGTCGTTAAGGGCCGTGTTCTGTGGTGTTTATTGGGACAGCCTATGTTCGGTAGTGGATTTGTGATTGACGATTGCGTATACCGTGTAGAAGCGTTGTAAGAACATCCACTACCCCCATATATATTTTTTATAGGATAGGGTGACAAACTAGCATACAGTCTACCTGATGGTAAGTGGTTGCTGTGATCCATAGACATCTACATTTATCTTCAATAAAAAATTAAAATGCAGATGCGTCGTCACCCGTGAGGACTACGATGGAATGCCTCTTTTCCAGTAAAATGGGTCTCCGGTTCTATACAGTCACCATACGAAACACAGCAGTTTCAAGTTGCCATTTTACGCTGGTATTCTGTAAGATCGTGGTCCTTCCCCGGTCGAACCGACCCATTCGTGCTACAACTATATTACTAATATAGCTGCAGCATGGCTCTACCACGTATGATCCCGTGGAAGTCGTAAAAGGTGATATAGGGAAACAAATCAAGAAGGTGAGCAGCAGCGTCTTCCTAATAACGACTAAAATAAAAAAAACTGCGGTTGCCAACCGCTTACCAAGCGTAGCAACTATGGCAAATATCCCACTTTGAGGTGGACTTTAATAGGCTGTAACGGTTACGGTAACGGTAACAGTAACGGTAACGATAACGGTAACGGTAACGGATTGCGTATTACGCGTTGGTTTTAAATTGCACAAATTTACCTGTATCAATATCCACAGCAGTGACTTGTGTGACGAGCTCGTTTATATTTGCGTTTTCAGCAATCGATTCAGCTACGTAAGTTTCTTGTGTGAAATGTGGGCGATTGTCATTTTTATCGGCAATTTCTATGAGGAAAACTTGCTGACCGGCGTTATGCTTTCCGGGTATTAATGCCGATTCAGAATTGTCAGTAGCGATTATTTTGATGTTGTAAAAGCTTCGCTCTTCTCTATCGAACATTTTTAATGTTGTTATGTTGCCAGTGATACTGTCTATGGCGAACGGATCTGACGGGTCGCCTAGTTCGTAAGTCACTTGATTGTTGGCTGAAGTACCGTCGTAGTCAAAAGCACGGACTTGCATAACTGGAGTGCCTGGAGGCTCATTTTCTAGCACACTGCCTGATCTTATTTCACTAAAGATTGGAATATTATCGTTGACATCTTCAACTTCAATCTGTATTATCGTTTCAGCTGCTAATTTGTAATTGTTCTGAAAAATAATTTCAATAGTAAATATAATATTATGTTATGTGTTAATATTTAAATTCTAATGAGAATATTGTTTATTTACATTGCTTATTCTTACCTGTATCCTAACTGTCAAAGTATAATCAGTAATTTTTTCATAATCCAAATGATTACCCAGCTTTATGTAAGCCGAATTAGCCTCCGGTTCCAAGACAAATGTGTGCCATTTATTCGTTTGTTCCGTTTGACCCATCACTAATTCAAACTGTAATTTCTGCTCTTCAGGTATATTTGAACTAAAAAGAAACAAATTTATAGAATTGTGTCTACTATTGTACTTATTAACAAGTTTTCTTTGTGTGTTATGAGGTTATTATGTTGACGTGGTTCATCGTTGAAAGAGACTCAATTCATACTTACACTGCTCTAACTGTAGCTATAGGAGTGTTGAAGTCAGCGTAATTTTCTTTTAATCTTATCGGTTCATCGGGAACTTCTATGAAAGACGGGCTTTTCTTGTTAGACTCTATGACTTGAATGTCTAAAGTAATCGAACTTTGTTGAGGCGGATCGCCCATATCTTTCACTATGGCACTCAACTTAAATTTGTACCCAGGAACTTTCTGTGGGAATGATACCAAAATCACAGTTACTGCAACGATATTTTGCCGTTTACGATGCCGCAGAGATAGCGAAATGATATTAAAGGGATACTAAAGTATTTTATATCTGGATCCTGGCCAAACCATGATTTGCTGATCTCTAGAAATGGACATCTCAAAACATCCAATTTTACTTAATTATTACAACAACTTTACAATATTACTTTACTATAGAACTATACAAAATATTGTTATTTTAACACAATTTATTTATATAAAATAATGATTAATAATAAATTATAATCATAAAAAATACTTAGACATAATTTTATATAATTAACACTTACATCAATGGTTTTGTTTAAAAATATGACTCCGTTGTCAGGATCTATATAAAAATAAGCCTGGTCAGGGGAATTAGAGTCCAAGCTGTAGTGGACGATGGAATTATTTCCATCGTCAATGTCAGTGGCGGATATTCTCATAACCTCACGACCGCTGGGTAGATCTTGTGGCACCGACTCCGAATACGACTGTATAAAAGAGTATTTATTAAATTTTTTCAAAATTTACATCTTATTTTCGTACAAAGAAACATATGAGAATCGTCGATTCAAATAAAAAAATATATTTATATATTATATTGAATACAAATTGTTTTTAAAATTAATTTTAATCTATTATTTCAATTTATGACGACAATATTGATAGTTCTTTTTTTGAAATATTTATATAAAGTCACACGATTTTAGCATCTATATATTGGGTTATAGTTACAATGTATTCACTTCGACATGTTCTACGCGAAGCATGCCCAAAGCTAAGAGAAAGTTTCGTATCGAAAATAATAATAATCGTGCAGTGTGATAAAATGCGCCTAGGGGGAAAGAGCAGCCTAGCTAAAAAAACACATCAACTACAAATGTGCAAAATAAGTGAATTAAAACACAACGATAATATGAAATTATTACCGATAACGCCTTGAGCGGCTTACGATCCTAAATCATGCAGCAACATGCAATAGAAATAGAATGCTGTTCAAATTGTTCTCATATATCGATTGTTACCAGGGCTTTATAAATTTCAAAGAATACAACAGAATCTACGACATAAATATTGAAAGGACCAGCATTGGTAACAATCGAATGTTAGTTATTAACAGTGTTAATTTTAAACATTTTGTGCGAAACGCTCTCTCTCATTTTGTGTAATTCTCAGCTCTTTTAGACAAACCTTCCAAACGTCTCCACGGAAGACCTTCGAAAAACAGGCAAGTGTTAATAAAGTCTGCGCCACGGTTTGAGGCTAATGAACGAATTATTAGTTAGTCACAAATATGTATCAAACACAAAAATTATAACAATTATTGAAATGTTTATGGTACTAATATAAATTTATCAATCAATAATCCATTCCAATGTAAGACCTAAAACCTAAAAATTATTAATTCCTTAGGAATGCATTATTAAGAAGTATGTTTACTTTTGAAAACAAGTTATTTTACACAGATTGAATGAATTTCACATTCCTTTTATTAGCTCTGATAAATAAAATTACGCTGGTAAATTGTAAAAACAGTTTAAGAATTATCATTATTTCAAAACGGCGAATTACTATAAAAATCTAGTGACAAATGAACTAAGTGGAAGGTAGAGCGCACTCTAAAACTAGCTGTAAGTGACTATGGCCTAAAATTCGCATTAGATTGTGTAACAAGAAGTACTCACGACTTTGTCGAAGACCGGCTGGTTATCATTGATGTCCTCTATAAGAATCTTGATAGTGCAGGCATCGTCCAATTGTGGTTGACCGTTGTCGCTCGCCCGTACTGTTATGTATGCTTCTTTTTCACGCGATGGCTCGTCGTGGTCGAAAATCTGTGTTTATACATTTTTATTTAATATCTTCCTGGACACTAAGTGGACTAGCTTCGAACATACCTTGGCGCCTTTATGAGAGCTGTGTTGAATTTGTTTATTGATGCTAAGGGTAACAATTTTATTTCTTACAAAATTATAAGTTATATAAATAGACACTATGTAGTAGGTAAACTATTTTATCAAAAAGATATTACGTGTCCATTTTCTAGCGGTATACTAAAAACTTATAAAGAACTCCAAAGGGGTGCATAAAAGATAAAGAATAAAAATTACTTGTAGTAGTAATAAAAAAAATCAGTGTTTATACTTCAATTAAAAAGGAAGAGCTTACATCAGCTGTCGTAATTCTTCCCGTTTCAGGATCTACGTGAAATCTCTCTTTCTCTCCAGGAGTGGAGACGAATTTATACGTGACCGTACCGCCCATCTCGGGTGGATCTCTGTCTTCTGCGTGCACCTAGAATTTGATAAACATATTGTAGATTGTAGTGTTACACCAGAGTTTTTGTCACATAGCGTTTCTTAATGATAGTATTTGATGATATAAAATGTATACTTCATTATAGCAGTAAACGTACAAATCGAATTACGATAAATTTTACAAAACATTTTTTTTATATTGTAGTTGATTTTTTTTAAATGAAATTGATATGATATACGAAGTGACAGTTTACATAAGGGTCAGTGGCAACTGCAGCAGATGGACATCTGAAAGCAACTTCTAACAAAGAAAGCTACTGATGCGTTGTTACCTCTGACGACTAAGATGGAATGCCTTGAAGTCTGTAATTAGACTGGCCCTTATACCCTTAGGACCGGAACACACAGTGCAGGCACTGTTGTGTTGGAAAATTCAACGCACCTTCCTGTCCTAAATAAGACGACTAATGCCGGATTTCTTTTTTAATAATGGTTTCGTTGTCCGTTACAACCCATTTTATTATATACGATGTCTATATTACAAATTATTTATTCAACAATACGTAGTAATTTGTTAAAGCACAGTATTTTGTTTCATAAATGTGTTTTAACGAACTTCGTGCACTGTAAAATAGGCCCGAGGGGAAAAAGAAACCTTTTTAATATGAAAACCAGGTATCTGTGGAAAATATACTTAAAACATTGCATTTAACAGATAACAAAATAATCATTATAAAATTGCCAGAACTAAAAAACCAAACTGCACAGATCCGATTTCTGATTGTCTAATGCGATTTATGAATTGATATTAACATTTTTGTTATAGGTGGCCTTTATCCAGCAATGTAGCATCATCTCAGCACAATTAGCACTTATAGGCGATGACGATGATCATGCGATGATATCATTTACAAATCTTACAAATCTCTCAAACAAATATATGGGTGAAAATATAAATTAAAAATAAAATTAAATAGACATGATTATCCACTATTTAAGTTTCAGTATATTAAATTTTTTTACGTTTCCCCGTACATATTTCTGAATATTTGGATCGTGAAGCACTGCACTATACGCATAACTGACTTGATCACTGAATCGAAAATGTCCGATAAATTTCCGATTAATTTAAAGGAATCGCTCAATCGTAATTTCCTACCTATAAGTTTGACCAAAGATAAATAAAATACTATTATGGAAATAAGGAACATGGTAAAGGTAGTCTATAGATACAGATGACTAAAGATCGTGCTTTGTCTTTGAGTCTTTGCAATGCTAATTTACAGTAATAAACGAAGTTCATAAATAGGAATAAATTTGAAAAAAACAACTTTCAAATCAAAAAACAAGCTATATGTAGGTGTCTGTGCACCAATTAATAGGTGGTTTGTATGGTCGTTTGACAGCCATGCACACATACACGTAAACCTACAGACCCCAGATTCAACGTTTAGACCTGGTATTATTCTTGCCTTGCCTTTAGTTCAATTCTTGAATTCGATGTATCGCATTTAAACTTTGCTCTCTATACACATTCAAAATCCCCCTTCGCTGGTTCATGGCGTAGTGATTACGAGAAAGGTGAGACTGATACTAATTATGTCTGCAGTCTTAACCTACTCAACTGATCAACTATTTCTCAGGTCAAGATAAAAACATTAAATTGTGACATAAGCATACGACTCACCGTGAATACATATGTTCCCACTGGTTGCTCCTCTTTGACTGTGGGTTTGTAGTTCAAACACTCGGTAAAAATTGGCTTGTGGTTGTCCTTCACCGCCAGCTTTGGCGAAGTCCCAGGTACGAACTGAAATCGCGTTAGGGCGTGCCCCTACATCGTTATTAAGCTCACTGTTATTTAATTTATAAAGACATAAAAGAAATATGGGACCATTACTGACTGAAAATTAAAACATCGTATTTATAATATAAAACTTTCCATTACAGTTCAAATAATATACGAGTGCTAAACACGTAAGCATTACTTATAAAATACTTTTTTCTCAATGAAGAGTTAATATACATATTAGCAATGACAAATACGTGTATTTCTTGAATATCTGTGGAGTTTGTGATATTATAAAATCTTATATGATGTTTTATGTCTGTCAGAAACAGGCCCATATTGATAAAATTACCTTTGTCCAATGTTTTCAGTGGCTGCCGAAAAAACCCATGCAGCAGTTTTGTGCCAACGAATATACATATATAAAAATTAAAAAAGAAGCAATATTTCGAAAAGTAAAATAATAAGGCACATACTCGTATAATCTGTATTAATAATCTATAATTAAAACAACAAAAAACCACGTTTTTTGTTTTAAAATTTGTAAATACAGATCATAATCTACAAAAGCATTCGGACAGAAGTAATGTTCAACTAAAGCAAAATTTAATTTATAAACAACTTAATGACTAAGTAATTCCAAAGTGCCGAATTTTACATGCATTTACTTTATTAAGTAAAAACCGTAAATGTAAAGTTATTAAGGTCACATATACAAAGCTAATTTATACATAATAAGCTTACGTGACTTTGTACTATGTACCTTCCGTTTTCCCTGTAGGCGATTTAAATATAATTATTACAATCAGATTATTAAATGTGATAAGATATTTATTATTACAAAATTACTTACATTTATCCTCGAAAGCTTTAATAAAGACATTCGTAATGTAAAATGCAGTCGATTAAAGTTTCAAATTACGAACTTATATTCATGCAAATACACGTCTATCTGTTGTTAAGAATAAGCACAAAAACAATAAAAACACTATAGGGGACAAAGCTTTGAAGGGAAAATGTAATGGTACGATATGAGTAAATATTTCACAGTTGATATTTGAGGAACGTGTTGAATATACTCACGGCTGAGGTGTGGATAGGCAGGTACCCATCGAGATGTCTGGAATGTCTTAATCTCGTCACGTGGTGTGAAGTGTGTTCTCTGACTGTAGACAAAAAAAGAACACTTAAAAACATGTTCAAAAATACATACTTAAAAGTTGTACACTATCAGCTATAAATTTTTTATATTGCAATTTATAATGTATATTATGCGTTTGTAAAAAATGTGTTAATAAAACATTTCACACAGAAGTAACATTATTATAATCTTTTGGTGACTCAATCGCCGTGCTTTTATTTAGTGGTAGAGTTTCTTCTCTGCTAAGGGTTTCGTAAGGGTTAGTACTAACATTTTACCTCCTTTTGCAAGCAGCAATGTAATGCTGTGTTGTAGTTTGAAGGACAGTAAAGTTAATTATACGTAATGAGGCATTTTATCTAAGTGTAACAACGCCTTTCCTTTCCTTTTGCTAAAATTGATATTATTCGCTTAACAGATGAACTGTGAGCTCGTTTGTTTAATGTTATAAGAAAATTAATGTTACAGCACATGTGCACCGTAGCCTAATGATTAAGGGTGTGGACTACGACGCTAAAAAGTCGTGGTCGTGGGTTTGAATTCGCCATTCGACTAACATGCACCACTCCTAACACAAGCATTTTTAAGCTATTGTCGAGTAAATAGCGGGAATATTAGGACTAGCACTGATAGTAATCTTTTTTAAATAATAAGCAGCCTAAGCTTAATCATTGGTTCCGCTATTATTTAAAACTAGCTGTTCCCCGCGACTTCGCCCGCGTGTAATTTAGGGTTTTAATTATGTTGCGCTGAACCTAATTATTTTTCTTAAATATAAGTAGCCTAAGTTATTCCTTATAACATCAGCTATCTCCCAGTGAAAGCCCCGTCGAAATCGGTCCAGCCGTTTCGGAGATTAGCCGGAACAAACAGAAAGACAGACGGACAGACAGACAAAAATTAAAAAAAATGTGTTTTTGTTATAAGTACCGTATATACTTTCATATGCATTTAGTAAAAAGCTGGTATTTTGACATTACAAACAGATACTTCAATTTTATTTATTTGTATAGATTAATATGTATGCAATATTAATATGTATGCACTTTAAGCCCTATAGATTCCCTACTAAAGATCTGTACTCTCTATGTGACCACCTTTCAGTCAGGAGGCTGTATATCCTTAACTCTGTCTTAAGATTACACAAGACACTGACATACAACCCCAGAAATTGCGACAGTAGAAGAAGACATGCTGTGGCTAAAATAGTTCCTATGAAAACGAGTTTTGCCAGAAGGCAATTTAAAAGTCAGTCTGCATATCTCTATAACTACATCAATAAACATTTAAATATATATTCAATGACCCAGTACAATGTGAAAAAACACGTTACAGTGTGGTTAAAGACAATAGAGTATGATGAAGCTGAAAATTTATTAAAATAAGTAGATCAATGTACACCATGGCATAAAAACTTACAACAAATACTATAATACACAGGCAAACACAGGCACACACGCACACGCACACACACACACACACACACACACACACACACACACACACACACACACACACACACGCACGCGCACACACATTTAATCTTTATTATCTTATAAGTATCAACAAAAAATTGTTATGGAAGAGCGGGGTCCCCTAACACAGGTATTGATATACTTAAAAGGAGACCCCAGCCTAGTTAATGTATTTAAATTTAAGATACTGAATAAAGAATTTTGAATTTGAATTTGAATATGTATATAGTTATCATTATTCTACACTAAATACACTAAAATCCAATAAATTAAAGGACTATAATATTTTTTAAATTTCTAAGTACTATTTTGCTATTGTATTACTTTTATTCCTTTATTCATTTCATATATTACTTTATACAAACTTTTTATCAGTCCACAATAAGACAAAGGTACTCGTAATATTACGTAAGACTCGTAAATAAAACATTTTTACAGAAGAATTGCAATTATACTCTGTAGTAAGGCTATTTAAACAAACACTATTAATTCAAACGTAAGCAATTCGAGTGCTGTTACTTAAAGTGGGCTAATGAACGATAATCTGGCTCAGTGAACTACTTCATTTGGCTCAGCACCCCGTAAGCCGCTCTCTGAGACAGCTTGTCAATGAGCCACTAATCTCCATAGAGGTGCGACTTTCCCGGCTGGCAGGATTTAAATATAATTATTTTCATGTGGCAGATTTAATATATCCATTAAATTAGTCCCACCGTTTTGGTTTTTTAGTTTAAAAAATGTGCCATAATATGCCCGTGCATAATCATTTGCTACGTAGGAAAAGGGTATAAATTTCACGAGGTTTTTTTTTAAAATAGTTGTAGCTTACTCTTCTTACTTTTTAGAAATAACAATAATTGTGCTGTAATAGCCACGCTAAGAGCCACGTGTCGTATGTTCGAGAGTGGTGTGTCGTGCTTAGTGTGGTGGTGCTGCGGATGGTAGTGCTGGGATTGACGGCGACGGGTATAGTGCGCGCGATTGAGGGAGGTTGGGAGGTAATCTTAAAACTGGGCAGGACACATCATTTTCTTTCTTTACGCGGAATTACGTTTACGAAATTAGTTTATAACAACCCCATTATAATGGATTTCCGCAAAGTAACGCCTGATTCTATTATCTTAAAAAGACCATTTTTTTTTGTCTAAACCATCTCCAAGTTCTTCAGATTAAATATTTATATAGCCTAGATCACTCTTGGCGTTGCTCTGTATCTGTTTGTGAAGTTTCAGCCATTCACTTCAGCCATTTCGAAGATTAACCCGGACAGACAGGCAAACAAAAACTTTAGAAATGGTTATTCATATCTTTATGTGTAATATATATTATTTTGAAGTGGTAGAGCCACATGCTGCAGCTATATTAGTGGTACAGTTGTAGCAAAAATTGGTCGGTTCGGCCAAGGAAGGACCACGTCACAGAATACCAGCGTAAAATAGCAGCTTAATGCTGCTGTGTTTCATATGCTGAGTGTAGAGAATCGGAAACCCTTTATGCTGGAAACGAGGCATTCCATCTTAGTCCTCAGGGTGACAACGCATCTACATTTTGATTCGTAATCGAGGATGAACCATAGAAACCACTTTTTTATAGGATAGGGTGACAAACGAGCACACAATCCACCGAATAGTAATTGATTGTTGTGACCCATAGACATCTACATCTTCTTACCATCTGGTGGACTGTGTGCTCGTTTATCACCCTTAGTGTATGTTCAGATGACAAGCGCTCAACGCGCGTTTCGATAACGCGCGTTTACAACTACATCAGATTTATTCAGGCCGTACACATGCTAACGGGCGATTTAATAAAGCGCGCGTTGAGATCAGTAGTTTTCTATGTTACCGTTCAGATGAGCGCGCGCTTTTGATGCGGATAGACGTATTTTAGGGTTCGTTCAGTTCATACAGAAATCATCCGAAATGGAAACGGAAGTTTTTAATACCGAATTATTTATAGATGAAATAGAGAAACGTCCTGCGATATGGGACATGATGAGGGCGGCCGCGGCAACGCGCGTGCAACGTCTGACAAGCGCGCACCATGTGAATACTATACAAAACTTTTACGCGCGTACAACGCGCGTTGAGCGCTTGTCATCTGAACGTACCCTTAAGCTGCAGCTGCAGATAGACACTTCAAATTTATTTATATGTATAGATTTAAATTTTATTAAATGAGATATAGATATAGAGATATATATGTATACAGTACCAAAGTATTGTCTTTATCACAAAATACTTGTGTCACTGGGGTTAAGATTTAGTATAATCATTATAAGTACGTAACTGTAGTGTTTACGTAACAATTAAACTTAACGTGGCTTACAGTACACGCTCCATTACAGTGAGATAACGCAAGGTAAAACTAATTTACCTGGATACAATAACAATATTTAACTTGGATTACGCCATGTGACATGTAACGGCTAAACGTACGAATGCAATTTAGAATAATTCAGATTTTCAGAACACTGCGCTGTAATTAAAACTAAATATTCTGTATCTCCTCATAAAATTAATTTTGCAATTCTACTTTAAGAGAAAGAATTTCGTAATCATTGAACAAAATTACTTCTTTAATACACCATGTTACAATTTACGAAATTAAACTAAGATGAACTAATAAATTCATTCATAGCATCCTGTTCGTATAACTTGCAATATTTGCGTCTAATAAAGTAAAAACACAGATATAAAAACCACACAATGTTATTCCATAAAAACATACTATCTAATACATACGTTCAAAAATGTTATCTAGAGAAATATACAACGCTTCTGTACACAACGCTTTGATGGAACCGGATTAGATGCATCTGAAAGCCGCCATATTGTAGGCGGCGGATGATGTATTCAACCAGAAGTAATCGAATACTGCATACACAGCAAGAGCTCATACTAACAGAGACGGATACAAAGACAGCGAACGTCAAACGCTTTGTTCCCGAGAGCACAGACAGACGCACAAATGGCCTTATTTCGGTTTCTAGGCAACATTATATTAAGTATTGATGCTAGTAGCAGTGTATTCATAACGCTTCGATGCGCATTTCCATCTAAGTTCAGTCAAAGTAAGAAACTTGTGTGTAGGAATCGTAAATCGGAAAACATGAAAACAGGCGATAAATATAGAAAAAATATTCCAGTTAATTGCGTTAACGAGCAGGAAATGTTGGGAGAAGGGGTGCGAAAGGTTAGAGAAGCGAAAGCGCGTTGCCGTTGACATTCACATAATTCATTTTTCCATTTTTCGACGACACTATCTTAATAACAAATCTGATGCGTTTTATGTTAATTACGTTTCAAATTACAAATTTACACTTTGAAAAGTCAACAAGATATAAATATATCTATATTAGATTTTATGGTAATGAACTATTATTTTTTAAGTGAAACATTTTTCAAGTTGTAATCTTCTGGTAAAATATTCTTTAAAAATATAAATCAAAAAACGTAAAAAAATATTACCTTCAAAGCTTGTTTGTTGCTTCTGAGTCAACATTTAGAGAATGTCGGTTTTCGATTTAATTTTATTAAAATATGTATATAAATTAGCAACATTTTTGACACAAAACAAAA